GTGTTTATATCGTGATTTTACATTTCTGTTTAAATTGTGATTATTCTTGTAATTTCAAAGGGATCGCAATTAGTTTCGTCTCATTTTATATTGAAATGAACGAAAGGTTACACAAATTCGTCATAAGCACATCTAAAACCTATTATGAAAAGCATTCATCTAACATAATTATAATGTTAAGAGCCTGTCCCACCAAATTGTAAATTGTCTGATAACAATCCAACGTGTAAAACATGTGATGGAAATATCGGATTTTGTTACTTTATCTGACAGTGACGTTATTTTTAAGTTATCTGAGCCTCTATCAGCCAGTGGTGGGACAGGCCCTTAATCTGTATTAAACGTTGTATTGTATACCACCGTCATAGTTTTGTATTCTACTTCAACAAATACTTAATCGGCTTTTCTAGAAATATAAACTTTCATAAAGCATACGTCGTGTATCTTGCAACCCACGATACTTTATGCTCATAAACTCAAATATGCTGAATCCATATACAGAGGCAGTTTAGTGAAAGCCAACGCAGCGAATAAGCCTACGCGCCGACACAACATAATCTCACGTGTTTAAACCGAATGTCTGATGCTAAGCACTTAAACTACCTTGAAAATAAGGGTAGTTACACACGGATTGCTGCAAACTGCAAGCGTACGGCTAATGAAGCGACAGGCATGCGGCTGGCGAAGGCATATCAGCCCCTCTAGACAAAGTGACTTTCGATTATCGATGTCCCTTGTAGAAACGACAAAATGTGTCAAAACGTATAGGATTGAATACGTCACAAGCACGTGACTTACCAAATGTTTTGTCAGTTCCATACATTTTAGACTTTTGATCAGCGATAGCGATAATTAAATGTTACTTTTTCTAAGGGGTTTTTGTATTGTTAATTTTGTAACATAATGCATATAAAATTATATCAATAACTAATGTTTAATCTAAAAAAGATGAATGATGAACTTTATCAAAGATAATAAAGACTCGAACAAAGACGAATCAAATAAAATACAAAGTTCTAACAAGTTTAAACATTTTCTTAAGATAGCACAAGTTGTAGAAGTAAAGTGCTGAGTAGTTTCTAGTAACATTGAAGATATTTTCCACTTTACCTTGTATCACATACGATTCAACGGTTTTAAACTTTTTATGAGAGATAAAAATTTATAGTTAGAACACTATTTTGGAATGCTGCTGCTTACTATGTTAAAAGTTTTTTTTCAAGAACCCGAAAAAAGTAAAAGGCACGGACTTGAATTGTATCATAATAAAAAAAAAATCATGGTAAATTTTGTTAACCAAAATGATATTAAATTACTATCAATGCAGTTTTACTTATAGCAAAAAGTCATTAAAAGCCTCAAAACATATCTAATGCTGTGAGGTAAATGAAACCAGTGTTGATGTTACTTTTAAAGCGGCGCACATCTGAAACTAAACTATCACACAACTATTTAGTCGCGCTTAATTCCTATGAGCTTATATAGAGGTGGGTTCCTTGCTCAATTTTTAATTATGCAACTAAACACTTGAATTGACTGCGAAACAATCGACAATCGCACAACAGCTGTGCGATAGTTTCTTCAAAGGTGTGAGCATGCCTTAAACGGACTATGGAATCTATTCAACACCATTAACTATAAGGCGTGTTTATTTACCTTATTTCCTGGATTAGCCGACTAATTGACTTAAACTACTTAATACACCAGCTTAACTTACTTAGTACAGAATCTATATCCCTTAAAGGTTACATTTACACATTCAGGGTTAACTTTTGTATTTAGACGGATAGCTGTAACATGTTGTTGGGAAAGAAACCTGTAACAATACAAAACTAGAAATATTTAACACTAGTTTTGCCAACGACAGTCCTCGTGGTGTTAGAGAGAAACTTAATTTATACGCTACTAGCTGTTCCCGTGCGGCTGTCCGCATGAAATTATAAAAACTTTATTTTATTGTTTACATTTGTCAAATTCTCAATTGCAAATGTCAAAACTATAATGTTGGCAGCTTGTAGTTTATGGTCCCTTTCCCACATGAAGGTTTTTTCCAATTTATTTACCTTCTAAGTTTTATAGCGTGAAAATTTATAGTCTAAAGCGTGTCGTAAGTGTAGAGCTCTTTAATAAAGAAATTATTATTCTAAAATATGGTGTGATTGCTGACATCCTACGCCACGAAGTAGTGTGTGTTTTCGTTTTATTACATTCGTATAGAAGTGTACATACCAAACTGTAATCAACATTCATCCAAAAACGGCTGAAAGGGTGTTTAGCTTTTCTCTTCCGTCGAAACATTTACCAAACTTTTAGCAGATACAATTTTAAACGTATACGCTGTATTCTAAAGCTATTTTTATATTAACTCTTCGACTTATTATAGACTAGCTGTTGCTCGCGACTTCGCCGGCGTGAAATTTAAATACAATAAAAATATAACCTATGTTACTCACAGATAAATTACCTTTCTAATGGTGAAAGAATTTTTGAAATCGGCCCAATAGTTTTCTCTTTATATTAGTATAAAGGTATAAATGTATTGGCCATGTTGGCTTGCGTATCTTGTTTAAAGGAAGTTTGATGGAGTCGTAAACTAAATATAACGTAATAGTAACAAGCGATGGCTGGAGTTTACATTTAAAATTAACGGTCAATTTTAGCTCGCATTAGCCCACACATCTTCTATTGTTCATTAGCTCGTATTTTAATTTAGTGTGAAATGGAATCTCTTTTTTATTAATCAGACAGAATTATCGGTAATACTAGAAAACAAGTCAATAACAAGCTTTATCATTTTTTTAGAAAACCGCGTTTGTTCTGGGTAATCTCCGAAACGATTAGCCGATTTCGACCTGACTTTCACTAAAGGGTAGCTGACATAGACAGGTATATTATAGGCTACTTTTTATCTTAATATTGCGTGGACGAAGTCACGAGAAATAGTTAGTATATAATTAAAGCGCTGATCCATTTATGTATGTATACAATATACACTAAAATATATTGACTTTGTATTACATTACTTTGTAAAGGTGTAAACTGTCTTCCAATAAAAGGAAATTTGTATCACAATACGGTCCCTTAGCTTAGCAAGGGGCCTTTTATATCTTTTGTTAGGAGTAAAACGATTTTATTAACGGATATTGTGCCGTTACCCTTACTGTAAATTTAAAACAGTATTGGTTACACTAATTTAAAATAATATGTAGTTATCAAAGTGATACGTTGGTTGTACAATCAAATATCATAGAACCAATTTCAATGGAAATCAGATAGCACTAATGAATATTGTTATGTTGGTATTTCTGACGTTCATTATTGATGTCAACAAGACCTCATACGCCATGTAGACTTGTACGATAGAACGACAATTTGTCAAGTCCATTGGCACCAAAAAGAAAGAAATAACTTTTGAAGGAATAGGTAATTAGTTATCTTAGTTATGTTGTATAATTTTCCGCAAGGACCATAATTTAGTAATCGAAAAACGATTAATATAATATAACTAATATAACAACTTCTCCTATTACAAAAGAAAACGTGAAAAGTCTATTAATCTACATTAAGATCTTCTCAATTACATTCTATATTAAAAAATTTAAAAAAAATGTTTATCTTCATAATATCATTATGTTGCATTTTAATAATAACTAAATTTTATAGTTACTGCCTTTTAAAAGAAGAGCTAAAATGGTATCCATATTAACGCAGAATGTTCGATGATAACATTCCCATTTCACCCCCGTATTTGACATTCCCCAACAACGCCATCCTGTATAGTACGTGACACATCGCTTTATCTGAACACAAAACATTGGAGGAAGAGAATGTTATCTAGATAGCTTTGGAAATTGAATGTTAGATGTATATGGATGTTTCAGAAAGATACTACGTTGTACCATGTATCACTAGCGTCTAGGTTACTTGATAGAATTGCAAAAAAAATAGCAATGCTATTATAATTTAAAAAAACAAATGAAGGTTACTATCGGTCGTCTAAGCTTAAGGAAATTGAGAGAACAAATGAATATGAAATTTGACACAGTTTACGTTAATGAAGTACATAAAACTATTTTTAAAATCTTTGATTTGAAAGTTATTTAACAATTTTGTCGAATATCGAACTGGCCACCACTAATAAAAATAAAACTATCAGTTCAAATGTTCTCTATTCGAATTAAATTAGTAGACAGTAAAGACTATTAAAAGTAGAACGATTAAAAATAGAAAAATCGATATTTAATATATCGCATACAAAATTGTAACTAACATTCTATAGAACTTTCTTTTGAGTGACATCTCTGCGGCTTAAATTGCTGCAACAGTTTCCGGTTCCGCTTTCCTTGACTTTTATACGTTTTAGGAAAACTAGAACTGTCAGCTACAATTTATGATTTGCTTCAAACAGTCTTATTCTGCTGAAAATTCTTCGCTACAATTAAATAAAGAAAAACAATTTGGCAACGTTATATAAACAGTTAATTTTGCAATTGCAATTTGGCATAGACGTAGAGGATAGTCTGAAAGAATACATAGGCCTTTGTTTTTTTTTAACTCCACGCGGGGGTAGACGCGGGCAAATGCTAGTAAAAATTTAAACATGAAAAACGTTTTCACTTGTTCCAATTATGTGTTGCTATTGAAGTTTACAAAAGAACTAACTGATTTAAGAACCACTTCTTACAGCTAGAAAAATTTAAAATCTTCTTTAAAATAGTGTTTAAAATCTCCCTGTAAAACTAAAATTTATTATAATATAAACTCAGCTGCAAATACAGTGTTGAAATACCAATGCAGTGGTATTACGGCTTAACGGTACAACATATACTAGACTAAACTAATGGCCTAAGATTCTCATTAGTTGAGACGAATGGACGCCTTGCGGTACGAAGAGATTTATTTCTTCACATTCGCTCTTTTCTTTTTACTTACACGTTATTTGTGGATGTAGTTCGTATCGCAAATAGTTTTAAATATTTTATTGCAATGTTTTGTTACAGATATGAAATTATCATCCAATGACAAGATATACTGACTTCTGAGGATCATGTAAGTATGTAAATGCTGTATTTTAACAAATAATTTGCAGTATGAAGATTTCATCAACTTGCCCTTATCCCTTACTGAGGGTCGGCACAGTATGTGCTGCTCTTTCATAAATTTCTATCAACCGTCATATCTGAATCCACTCCTTTCTTAAGCATATCCTCTTTCACATAATTCAATAATACTTTATTCGGTCTTCCTCTACCTTTGTAGCCATCAACATTCAATCTTAACACGTTCTGGTTTATGTCCCCATCCTCTCGTCGCATAACTTGAAGTATATAATGAAAATTTGTCACAATTAAAACCTAATAATCACCTTAGCGACATATTTCCCCAGTCCTGTTTAATTAAAGAAAGATTTTATATTTTATATTTCGTGTTGTAAATCGTTGTCCCATATATTCGTCACAAGCCCCAAGGGTTCGACTGCCCTAATCCTAAACAAATACACGACACCGAATGTAATAATTCATCCGTTAAAATTTATCTGATACGGTCGATTCAAGTAAGACGTCAAATTTATAGCTTTTTATGAAAAGACAAACGACTACGGATATCAATTGGAACACTTTAGTGACAAATAATAATAATAGTTTAAAAATAAATAAATTAATTGAATGCGAAAGTTGAGATAGATGGATGGATGTTTGTTAGAGTTTGTAGCCTTTGGTATAAATGTAGAGGATATTCTAGAAGAACACAGAGGCTGCCCATTTATGAGGAGTATGCCAAGGAGTCGCGGGCGAAAGCAAGTAAATAATAAATAAATACACAATAAGACGTAAATCCGCATTAAAAAAAAGATACAATATTCTTCTATAAAACAAATATAGCAAGAAATACTTAGTACAGGTATTCTTAAAAATTTTTATGGCCTAACGCGATCAAAACTAAAATATTCTTTCACATAAAATTTCGATTGATTTGTTTTTATTATCTATATTTAGTTTGTGAGGTGCGTCAGTATGTGCAAGGTTATGCGTAAGAATATAAAAACTGACCTTAACTTCCAAAGAACTCTAAACACATTTGTTATAATTATTATTCTTCTGATTTCCTCCCATATTAGTGTATAACTTAATGTTGTCGAGACCTATTAAGGTATGCAAAAATCGGACAGAAATACCTGTAATTTTAGCTTTAACAAAAAACAAATACAAACAACCATAATTAGCATTGAAAAAATAATATTCGTAAAAGGGACTAAAAAACAATAATTAGTGAAGAATAATAACTTCTACAGCAAAGTTCCAAGCATCCTTTATTTGTTGAGTTGTTAAGCTTTTTTATTTTATAGAAGTACATTTTAACAAGGAAAAAGATATTCCGAGAAAACATCTATGAACATATCCCCATTCGCAGTTCGCAGAAAATATTCTAACGATTTAGTTCCTCTCATATTTTCCTATCGACAATGCATTGTAAGAAATCCTTCAATTGAAAAGAGGATTTTCATACTTGTGATACTGCCTGGTTGGTACTTCTTTACAATTTAATGAATTATAATCTTTTAATAGTAAATTTTGTATAAAAATCCTACTTCATATCTATACTATTATAATCAAGCCTAAACACACACTTCTTTGTTGCCTAAGATGTCAGCAATTACAGCATGTTTTTCAATAATTCTTTTCTTAATAAAAAGCTCTACACTTACGTCACGCTTTAGGCTATATATTTTCACGCCATTAATCTTAGTGGGTAAATATTTTGGATAAAAACCCTAATGTGGGAAAGAAACCATAAGTTATTACCAACATCAAGGAAGCAAGGTTGCCATGGTTTGACATCATGTCATGTCATTTTGACATTTACTATTGATAATTTGACAAATGTAAACAATAATAGGATTTTTTTTAATTTCACGCGGATGAAGTCGCATGGGAATAGCTAGTGTGTAACAAAATTGAATAAATAATAATAATAAAACAGTACATGAGTGCAATACTTTAAAATGAACCCTTCTTTTCCTTACTTTAGTAATAGTACAAGTAATCTTTCTTTTATTACAGATTCAAATAGAACTTCAGTATCAGTAAATGTCGAACGTAATGTGTAAGAAAAACGTATACTTTGAACACGACTCAGTACATAATTCATTTGTTTAATCAATCCACGTTCAGAGTACTACTGATGTCTTGTAAAGGTGCTTTTATATTCCTATAACCTAGATTTACGTCACACTGCCGGTGCTCTGATTTAAAAGTATTGATGTAAATTTATAGTCAGCTATAATTTCTTGCAGACTGCGTATTTTTAAGAGTTATATTTAGATAGGAAAAATGTTTAACATTTTTTGTTAATGCAATTTCGATGCTTTTAAGTTCAATTTTAAACAAAAAATCTGATAATATTAAATGCCAATTTCCCTATTTTCTTAATGTAAATTATCCAGCATGTATCTTGTTGAGGTGGAGGTTTTGTCTAAAACTCGCTGATACGAAAGTGATCCTATAGACTTTCATGTCACGTACCGTTTCTTACTGATAAAAAAGTAGAATTCACTCTTTTTTGTACATTTTACAAAATTCTCAGTACATTATATTGTAGTTTTGCCAAGTAAAAGATTATTAAGTAACTGTACTATTTTATCATGTATCAAATAATTTATAGTGAGTGATTTTTAACACATGAGTGACATTAAAACTTTTTTAACTAGCTAATTATTTTCTTTTCATTCCTAAGAATGAGATAATAAACATGATTTTTTTTTTATATCATGAGGTGGCTAACGAGCAAGCGGGCAAGTGAATCCGCTAAAATGATAAAGCGACCGCTGCCCATAGACAATAGTAATAGCGGATGCATTGCATACCCTTAATTGACGGATGAGACGCACTTAAAAATGATATTTTCCCTTCTGCGTCTCCTCCTCCGTCAAATTCACGTTCCTTTCCTATCCTATCCTTATGAAAAAAAGGGACTAAAGTTGGCCGATTTAACTATTTGAATCAATTAATTATTGTAGCTTCATAAAGTAGTATTGTAAAAGAATGAATGAATATATTCTTTAGAATAATACGTACGTTTTCATATGTACAAATTGTGGGCGATGCTATTATTCATAATGTGATGTATGGACGCACACGAGACCAGACTCTCGGAGAAAATAGATCATCGAGTATCATGACGGAGCTCGTTTCAACCACAAAAACCTATTTTTATCTCAAACGCGCACAATGGCTGTAAAAATAAGCCCTCGTAACTTATCCTATTGTCAGCATCTGTGATAATTTATGGCATCTTATACATTGGTAAAACAATGTTAAATTATCTTTATTGATTTGATAGAAATGTTTTACAATTTGAATTGATTAAAAAAATCGTTTGTTTTTTAAGTGTAACCGTCTGTCTCTCACATTTGGCCTTCACTTGGTTTGAGTGTCATTGTTTTATTATTTTTGAATTCAATTGTAGTGGAAACTAAAACTCTGTCAAAAAAAAAATTAAATCACTTCGAAAACAAAAGTACACAATTTTAAAATTGAAAATTTGTTATTCTACTAAGAGTTTTGTTTCAAATTTGTACTAGCTATTGAGTTCAAAGTGTTTTTAGGATTTATTTTGATGACATAAAATATCTCGTTACTGAGAATCGAGACCTTCCCGTCCCCTTTCTTAACACATTTCGCTAAAGACTAAGTGGTTTTTAACTTATTAACATAATTAAAACAAACTTTTAAACTTTGACATTTTTGGCAACAGAATATTTAAGTTTACGTTTACGTTTATTAGTAATGTCTTTACTTTGTAAAACCAAAATTCGCAACAAACGTATGAACAGAAACTAAATAAGTACTTTCATCATTTTTATTTAATTTACTGCAGTTGAAAAACGTAAAAAAGTGGTCGAAATGGATTTAAATAATTGTAAACTGTATATGTACTGTATATGTTAGTAATAAAATAAATAAACATTTTCAAAATTCGCATAAAACTAATGTAATTTAACTGAAAAAAAAGTACTCTGATTACGAAAACTGACTTGCTCTCAAATACTTTCACCAAAACTGTATAAGTTGATAACAAATTTCATTTGAACCACACCCACAATACACCTACGAACATTGTAGACATCTTAAATATTCAGACACGAATACTTACTTATTACATTTTAAAAGGCTGTGGGAAATTTACATCTGAGTATATTATTTCAGTCTGAGTTTTCAGAAAACTAAAAATTAGCTTTAATTTATTTCAGATCTTATTAAAGCAGCAATATGGTAATACTTTACGTTGATATAAATAAGCAGAAAAACCTCCATGTGATGCCACGATTCTGATAATTATGGCTAAAGTCAAGTCAAATCCCTACTGATCATAATCTATAATCACTTCAATTTAGGTTACGCTTTAAACATTTTGTGGGCACAGAGTTGACTACGCATGGAAATGTTTACAACGTCCGGTCTATAACTGATTTATTTGAATCTCTTTGTGATAGATGTACGCCGTTTTCAAACCAACGAACCAGCACTGTCCTATTTATAGCCTCAGATGACCTGTGCTTTACACTGGCCTAGAACAAATACGGCGGCTTTGTTCCTGACCATCGGTTGTGCACTGAATCCTATATTACTACCGCTTTGTCCATAACTTAGTTGTTTGCTGTAAGTTATGTGTGGGATAGGTAACTTAGATTTAGATATTTACATGGCGTGTTCAGTATATAAAGTAACGACGCTTAATTATCAGAACGGTTAAGTGGTACATACACTAAGGACCATTAACAAAGAATCTGCCGTACCTATAATAGATTTTCTTGATACATTAAAATCATTAAATCGATTAGATTTTGCTGTAAGATTTTTTTTAAGTTACTTTTTAATTTAAAGGTATATTTTGCTGTAAAATCCATGATGGTTCACATACCGACGTGTCTCGCTTAATATAATTTTATACTTCATTAAGTCGGCAGCTAAGGGTGTTTGTTTACAGCTCAATGATCACGTTGATGTGTTCATCTAGAAAGACTAACGTGCGTACGAATATTTTATAAA